TCAGCAGAAGTGTGTTGCAAGAAGGGCCACTCATTGCAGCTGTTTTGTTATGAAAATGTCTAGTAGTTTTTCCATCCTTAAGACATGTACTACCCAGATATGCCACAGGGTGTCATTCCATGTTTATTTATTTTTATTTTATTTATAAGTTTATTTTCTTTCTAGGACTGACACAGATGCACATTTTTAACTCTTGTCTTTTCCTTGTGTGCATGCCACAGATTTATGGCCACTATTCTTAGATACCCTTTCAGTTATGCATGTAAAATATAAAATGAGGAGCTGTTTTACATCTAATCATTTCCTCTACTTCCTGCTCTGTTGCATTATGGAAGCCTCCCAAGTTTGCTGTCACTGGTCTGAGCTCCCTCTGACCAGAATCCAACTCACAGGATGCTCCATCAGTGGTGCTGGTGGGTAACTTCCATTGCTTCCCTCTTTCCTTTGCAGCTTGTGTCCTCTTAAAATACAGTTCAAGGGGAATGGGGCCCTGCTAGAATAATCATGGGGCTATAGGGAAGAAGGGAGAAATGTTAGAAACGGCTTCCTTCTTGTACTGTTGGGATCTTGTAAGATCAGAAACAGCTCTTCTGTTAACAAATGGAAGAAGCACATTTACCATAGTAAACAAAGTTGGGTTTTAAGCCACTGTTGTGTGATAAATAAGTATATAGGTTTGGATAAGTAAATTGGATGGATTCAGATTTAGTCACGTGTAGAACAGATCCATTGAAATTAATGGGACTTAAAAATGGTAAGTTCTGGATCAAATCCAGTGTATATGATAAAGAGGTCCTCTTTTGTAAGCATACCTTTTGAGCTAGTGAAGTGAGATAAAAATTTTAGAAGAATTAAATACTTGCATACCTTGTTCCATTCAAATATGACCATTTCTAAATTGTTCATCTTCTAGTACTTTGAATTACCTAAGGCACCTCCAATTTTTAGAATGCTGATCTTCAAGAAGTAGTGATTTTAAAGGAGCTAGATTCCTTCCAACATATTACAAATTGAAAAAAAAAAAAAGAGGAAAATATCAACAGACATGAAGGCTTTTGATCATGCCTAATACACCTCCTTCTGAAACAAATCTGAACCCACTCCACCTCTGACGTATCAGCCTTGACCACTTTGATGACATCACTGTCTTGTCTACTGTGGTCCTTGGCTGTCCATTAAAAAAAAAAACTGCAGCCAAAGGCCACATGTCTGGGAAATCTGAAAGTTGCACCACCAAATAGATCTGGAGGGTGCTAAGTTGCAGAAGTCTATCTACTGTTTGGCTATTTCACTTTTGCTAGCTGTCGTTCTTTCTCTCCTTCTTTTTCTAAATGAGTGGCATTTTCACCTGAAGGTGGCCATTATTAAACTATACAAGGGAATCCTGAAGAGTTTATTTTTCCAGCCATGTTCCTTGGGAGTTAAAATAAGCAAGGAGCAAACTGAGCTGAAAAGGCTACCAACTGCACTCATCTAAACATAGTTGTCCATTCTAGAGGTTACTTGGGGTACTTTCATTCCTATGAGGTTCAAGCCAGGTCAAGTTAATTTGAGCTATAAGCTAATTTATTGAAAAGGGCATACCTATATGGGCAGGGCTGCCACTGAATGCCATGGGCTGTTATTTACAGCTGTAGAAAGTGCATTCCTTTGGATGCAACAGTAGATATGGGCTGGTCAGAGCCATATAGTAAGATTGTACCCAGTGTAAACTCTCAAGTGGGTTATGTGCATCTGGCTTGGCAGTCCTGGGAGTTGTAGTCTCAACTCATTGGAAGGCTACAGATTGGCCAAGGCTGATTTAAAACACAGTTGCCCTTGCTATTATTATTCTCTAGGTTGCAAATGGCAAAACCAGTTATGCTGATTCACTTCTGAGACTCTATCTATGCCAGTAGATTTCTTACTAGGCTGGGGAGAAGGAGAGGCATATCTTGTAGTCCATAAGCTCTTTTTTTGCATATACAAAGTTGTTTGTGAACTTCAAGATGCTGCACAATGGAGAGATTACTTATAATATATCCACTAGCAAGGAGGGCTCTGGCTAATCTGCTGCTGGACACTTTTGACACACAATCCTATTCATCTAACCTGAGAAATATTGTTTTTAAGCATAAGTAGTAGAGGGTGCCAGCCCAGAGGTTCCACAGCATCCACAGCTTTTGTCAAAATGAAGAAAGCACCATCCTGGAATCACAGGGCAAGTTCAGCCCTTTTATATGTGCATTTAACTTTGCAATAAAGGTACAAAAGAGGTGGCGCCTGGGTCATCATGGTCCAATACTGCTTTTATCATTTGCCTCTCTTCATCCCCACCCCTCCCCCAGTAGATGCCACTGAGCCAATCTAAACTGTTCTCCACATATATAGAAAATTAACTAAAAGAACCTAATGAACTCAGTTAGACTGCATATTGCTTGCCAGAATTTCAGATTTAAAGTATTGAGGCCTTCTGTTGACACGGATTCTCTTACAATAAAGCCAGATTCCTACTTGAATTGGTAGGACAGGATGATGATTGTACAATACAAGTATTAGAAACCTCACAGGCATTGAATCAACACACTCCTTGACAAGTTATATTTATTGCAAGAACTACAAAAGCCATTTAAAAAATCCAG